GTCGCTACGCCTGCACCTTAAAATAACGAGAATAAAAAACACTCAATGAAGTATTGCAGTCTGTACCTATCGAAGGCGATACCTCACAAGCCCCTTCTATCAGAACTCGTGCTATCACGCCGGCAGGAAAAGTTTGGTCAGGAGGCAAGAAGCGCCATACACAGGATTGAATGGGTCTCCCTTATTCTCCCTCATAAACCCTTCGTGTGGATCGTCGGTAGATTCGTTGGATCGTCACTTGGAAGACCGAATGCCAGCACGGATACTAGTGCGCAAGTCATGAGAATAAGTTCTACCTAGAGAAGGTAACGGTACTTGATCCATCTATTTATTACAGGCAGCTATACTTCAACCTGTTTAACACATTTCGTATACCCCGGGCAGTGGCTTGGCATTTAAATATGAGATTTTCTTTGGGCAGGTCGGCACAAGCAATGTGCGTGGTTAGCCATGCAAAGCGCAAACGGAAGTCTCCATTCCGAGAAACGTTTTCATCGGCGATTGCGGCCGTGAAAAACTCACTTTCTAGGGAAATTGTGACTACTGATGCAGTAGTTTTATTTAAAACTGCGCCAGTTTCAAGAGGAGCATAGTCTGTTGCAACGCAACTACCCGCAGGGAAGTCAGAAACGCAATGCCTTACTTCTGCACGGCTTGACTGTTAACTCAGCAACAGTCACCAACGCATAAGGTGTAAAAGGTTTCTGAACACGCTGGCAACGCTAAAACACTCTTACTAAGTGCACTTTGTACACCTGTACCAGAAACACTATCTTTAAACTACAATGCCATGCACGCGCAACGACAGCGAAAGGGGGCAGGCAAGAATACAAGCACCAAAAAAGCATTGGTGCACATGCCTTTACTCGAAACTAAAAGAATTTTGGCATCGCAAATCGGTTAGACAGGGGTATGAGTACCCCCTCCCAACCTCTCTCGCGGTACTACGAATGGCCTTAAACCAAATTCCTAAGAAGTACTTATTCCCGCGTCGTAAATTTAACGTTAAACTTTTAACTTTAATGCCAGGCCACCTGTGGATAAGGAAGAAGGATTGTCGAGCACCGGACCAATTTGTTTATTATCCTGAGTTTTCGGGCTTTTGTGGGAGTCCATCGTCAGAGATAAAGGCGTCCACGAAAAGCAAGCAATAGTTATAGGGGGTAGGAACCAAGCACCCGTTATACGGGGGGGGGTGTAACCGGGTGATTAAAACAAAAGATCGGCTGAACCCCAATGAAAAAGCTGGAGTAGTGTATCACATCCGATGCTTAAGCTGTCCTTGTAACTAAACAGGGCAAACTGAACGCATGCTCGGTTCACGAATGCACGAACATTAGCTGGCTGTCAGACGAGGTGACGCTCTGTCGCAAGAAGCGGCCCACGCCGGTATCAAGACAGGCCGAGAAATGATCGAAGCCTGGGGCTCGGATTAGAATTCAGTCAATCGATCTATCGACCTGGCGCCGGCATACATGGCTCTTCGCAGGCATACTCGAAAGGCCGACACTGTTGATTAACGAATTCCCCCCCCTACCGTCCCCTTCGCACCCTCGTATAACGTTTGATTGGTTCCTGTCCTTATAACAGTTACTTGCATTTCGTGGACGCTTTTATCTCTGACGACGGACTCCCGCAAGAGCCCGAAAGCTCAGGGTAATAAATAAATTGGTCCGGTGCTCGACAATCCTTCTTTCTTATCCATGCAAACACCTGGAACGAGAACCTTCATTCGCAATGCCACCTGTAATATGCAGACTACTTATACCTATACATTAGCTGAAAATCCCCTAAGATCCATACCAGTAGAATTAACAGGCGCATGGAAATTTAAAACTGTGTAAATTGGTCTGACGGAGTAGGCAAATGCGACCCTACCTCGCCGACGGCGTTTGCAAGCAGTTGGACAATGTGCTCGTGGGGTACAGCAACCACACTTTCACCATTTATCTCAATAATACGGTGATCCACTCGGATGCCTCCGCGTTCAGCAATGCCGCCGCGCAGGAGACTGCAGATAACACCATCTTGAACGCTGAAGCCCAGCTGGTACCTCTGGTCGGGTCGGCGAATCAGCACCTCCACCACGGGCGGACAGTTGACAACCATCAACTTCACGGCTGTCAAGTTTTTAGTCGCCTGAAATTGAAAGAGAGGGGGGTAGCAGAAGCGTCAACACCTACGACCACAGGAAGGATACTGGGCGAAAATAAACTGTCACGGACATGCCCCAGGCAGCCTCTAGAGTAGAGGTCGGGAACATTTTTAACTCCGAGAGCCAAGAGGGCAAATAGTTGGAAATATAACCAATGTATTACCGGCAAACGTTATGACTACAGTATACGCGTATTTCTAGCTTATTAGCTGTCGTCGGCTGCAGATACCAAACTCGAGTATAGCCACGGAAACGGCCGCTACACTCTAGTTTCGAACCCGCGACCAGTGAGCTAGAGACGAACGTCCTATCCACTGAGCCATCGGGTCGATGTCTTGCCGGTTGTCGATCGGGATATAGATCAATACACAGTACTAATTGGAAATATATTTCAGTGAGAGCCAATAATATAGTTTAAGATTAAATTCAATTAAATGCGAGAACGTCCAGTTCTTGGGGACGTTCTCGTGACCCTGAGGTCTCTTCCTCGTACGACCCTTCGGATGTAGATATTACTGGCTATGGACCCCATGGCTGCCGCTAACATTCACAGCAGCATCCTGGTCCTATCTTTCACATACTTTCCCCTACGAGCTTCAGTTTTTCTCCTAAAAACCACAAACGACATTCCATTTTGAATTATGAGCCATGCCTTAGGAGTTTTTTTCATTGTCTGCTCCTCTTGATCAGTTACAGTGCTGGCTCGTGTTAACTGACATCATCACATTTGAGTGTATTACTTGAAACAAGTGAGTAGTCGTCCACAACTGTGTCAACAATTCCTTTGAAATGTTCGGCTGTGCCGATGCATTTCTTAAATACTATGTACCAATAGGAAGTTCAAAGGCGTTTGCCTATATTTCTTTTAATAAACTTGACTTTACTTGACTATAACAAGCCTCTGGATTTAGTCTTTTAAATAAATGGCTCACGCAATTTGAAGTTTCTAATTCCAATTTTATCTGAGAGAGCCAGATGCAAGCATCAAAAGAGCCACACCTGACTCGCGAGCCATACGTTTCCGACCGCTGCTCTAGAGTGACTATGTCCAGGCCCATCGCGCGAGCCTTGTAGGAGCAGAAGCTGGCATTCGGCTGGTTCATCAACCCCTTCGATGGGCATCCTAAATTGTTCACTGTTAGCCAGCCTGCCTGCTTCTCGAACTATACTGAAGCCGTAGGGCTTGACACGGAAGACGCATTTGTACCTCATACGTGTTTCAGTCAGATAGGCTACGAGTCCTGGCCACCTGAGTGATCAGTCATGCGTCAGACTGCTGGAGGAGACCGCCTTAAAAACTGTATGGCCAACGTGTGCTTAAGCCAACTACTTTCACAACGTCTAGCCTAGCTGCAACGTTCGGCCGTCTATTCGAGCTCTTCCCAAGGCAGCTGTCGCCTCGTCTCTCTCGGATTTACCCACTGATGGCTTCCAGCGTCT